CAGAATGGTTCTCATATGTCAATTGACTAAGACAGGAAGACAATTTGTGGTCGATATTTGCCAAAAACCTAATCTTGACCTGTCTATTTGTTTGTACGCGAATGATATTTATACGTCAATCAACAGTTACTGAAAATACAGGTGACAATATTATATTTTATTTCTTTGAGTCTGTTCTAATGTGCAATACCTGTCACACCCCTCACACCCCTATCTCCGACTTAAGCGGTTTTCAACTCTTAACACTAAATATATAAGTATCAATGATCAGAAAATATCAAAGAAATACAACAACAGTGAGACAAAGTACGGAGCAACTTTTTACGGCCGACACACGCCATCACATGCTTGCTGTTATGATAACAAAATTATAAACAGGGGACATCGCTGGAGAGCAAGGAAAAGTCATATATCATATTAAACGTTCTACATCTAATATTGTTGGTAGAAATGTCGCGTGCTTATAAACAACAAAAATATGGTGCATACATTGTTGAAAACCCATGCTGTACAAACTGCCTATAATTTCCATCTTTTGACAATACCCTAAAAACAATAGATCGATGTAGGTATCTTGGCCTTATTTTTCAATGACAAGGAAGATTATTCATTTCACTGTAAAGAGCAAGCAAAAGGTGCAGGTCGTGTTCTGTAAAACATTATCTCCAAAATGCAAAACTAAAAAGATCTTGAATCTACATCATTTACAAAACGTTCTGAATCATTATTGGTACCAATTTCAGACTATTGTAATTCTCACATTACCATTTAAAATATTATAATTATACAAAATTGTGCTAAAGTCTATCATCTATGCGTCCTAAACTAGCAATTACATGAGATTTGGTAGACTTCAAAGCAATTATCGCCGTTAGATATTGTTGTAATGGTATAAGAATATACTAAAATTATCTAGTGATAATAAAACGTGTCTTTTACATTGATTTCATCAAGTGTCGAAATATTTGGTGTAGTATCGTTCAAACAGATATGTTACAATTGAACTTGGTCAGTAAGATAAAAAAAACAAATCCACTGTCAGTTCTAAAACCATTAATACCTAAATAATTGAACATTATGCCAATATTTGGAAAACGGATGTACTTCAAGTGTTAAAATTACGAACCTTTGTAACTGTCTAAATATTTTTTACAGAACAGATATTTTTCAGTAAGATTGACAGGTCATAGATAGCCAAATTAGGGTACTGCATTTTTCAGTTAATAATGGTCCAGATGGGGCGTTATGTCAGTAAATCACCAATTAAGAGAACTTCTTTATTTTGTGATGATCAAAATGTTAAAGTGCATTTTTAATCAAAAATTCATTTTACATGTACGTCTATATTAGAGTAAACACTTTCAGTGTCAAATTTTTCAAAATTATGAACGATTTTAATAAAACGAAATATCTGGTCATAAACATTTTATTAAAAAAACAGCTAAATATCTTGTTAACGCTTACTAAGTAAAAAAAAATTTATTTAATCGTAAAAATATGTTTTTATGATAGGACACTCTATTCTAACCTTAAGCTTAAACTATCTCTGGGCTTAATATTTATTTCAGTGACTGAACACCCCTTTTGTATGAGTCTGTGACAGTTAATATAATTACAATATTGTAATATGTATAGAAATGAATATGCTTAAGGTGACTTAAAAGTACAATGGGCCGGTGGTAATGTAAATTATTTATCATTCTTATTCAAATTTTTGATTGCCATATACATGATCCTTTTGTAAAATATCAATAACTTAACTTATTTGCTTCATTTAACGTATGTTTATTAAGTGTGAATTGGTTATATCAAGAGTCAGGGTTAACAACCACATTTATATCAAGTCGGCCTACATCATTAGTGCTTCCTCTGACAAGTTTTCCTCATAAATATTACACGTTTTGTATTGTTTCGGCTCATTAGAGCAAAGACCTACAGTTTTTTTCTGTTTGATTTGTTGTTGTTGTTTAGTTTTGTTTTGTCTTCATTTGATTAATGTAATATGTTTTGTCGATGAATAAAAACTTCAGTTTTATGAATGGAATTGCATGTTCATACATGTTCGACCGACACTCGTTTTTGCATACTTTTAGCATGGATTTATTTCTGTGCATGAACTTTATATTGCATTATTATTATTTAAATACCCAGTTTCACATTTCTGAAACCAAAGCACAAACAAATTTGAACTTACTTTTCAATTTGCAATACTATTACTATTAAGTACATGGTGAAGTAAAAGAAAACATGGAAAATGTTACATTTTACATATCTCTTTAGTTCGATTTTGAAGAGGCTATCTCTCGTCAGCTATAATTGATGAACAAAAGATTGCAAATGCAAATATATATATTCATACATACCGATATACCTAAGAAGAGTCATAAGCTGGTTACTTTGTTAAATTATGTCGCAATTTGATTCATTAACATCACTGATGAAAATGTGTTGGAACTATATGTTAAGTAGCATCAAACAAAATTAAAACAATCAAATGTAAAATTGTCTAAACGTTAATGCTTTTCTTATTGTAATGTTTTAGGCTAAATATAGTAATAATTTTTACTGTTCCTTTTGTTTACTATCATATGGAATGAAAAGTCCATCTTATTTGTTTTAAACATTACAATTAAGAAAGTCAAATGTTAGCAAATTGGTGGGAAGTTGGCTTTCAAATATATATAGCAATTAAATGTATATGTTACCTTCTATATTGGTCGAAGGGTTTTATAAAGTTCTCTCTTGTGATTGAGACTGTAAAACACACAGAGACAGCAAAATTAATAAATAAACAAGAAAGTCAGAAGTTTCGTTCTCACGTATACAACTGTAATTCAAATCTTCAGTGCATTTCATAAATATACAAAACCGTCAAAATCATGAAACAAACGATGAATGAGAAAATGAAAAATGAATATATATCAATACACTTATATAAGTAAATTACCTGTAAAACACACAGAGACAGCAAAATAAATAAATAAACAAGAAAGTCAGAAGTTTCGTTCTCACGTCTACAACTGTAATTCAAATCTGCCGTGCGCATGCGTGGCGGTAAATCATGAGCGGGAAAATGAGGCCCGTCACCAGTTACTATAGTTAGTGTATGACATATGATGAATGATATTATGAGGTTATGGGAGTAAATATGAGATGAAGGGTGGATGGATAAGGAAGAATATATTTATAAGAAATGCACTATATATCATATTGGATATAATAATGGTAAAGTATATACATGTATATATAATGACAAATGACCCTGTGACATATATGATAAATTATAATGATTGTAAAGGCCATGTTTTCTATTTCTATGAATTAAGTATTATTTTTTATTAATGATATAAGTCCCCAAAGAAACCTACAAAATGTAAAGTGAGACTGGCTGAAAATATTATTTCTACATGAACAATGATTTATTTACCGTTACAATACTAAAATAATCATTACTCTGCAATAATCATACTTAAATATCCTTTTTAAGGATATATTAATATTATAGATATTCATTCAAATCAAATTCAAATCGGCTTGTTGGTTTTTGAATGTTTGCTTTTTTCTTCTTCTTTTCCTTTAGATTATATTTACTTTTATTCTCATTTTTATAAATGTAACTTGCTAAATATTTTCGCACTTTACCTTAACCTTGATTTGACATTGTCTTTTGATCATGACATAAAGTAGAGGTAAACAAAATGAATAGCACTCGTTGATGAGGTAACATACATACTTGACATGTTAGTATGCCAAAGCTGATCAACATTACAATGAAATGATTTACCTGGGACAAAAACCTACATCTGTTTGTATCATTAAAATAGTCTCGTTTTGTTTTGTTTGTTTTGAGGGTTTTACGTTGTTGTATATACACATATAGAAAAAACGGAAATTTCTTAGTTTGTTTTTGTTATTGGATGTAGGGAAAAAAAATTTTATGTTTTGCAGAATGACTACAGCTCCTAAATTGTCAAATTGTGTTCGTTGATATTAGTTCATTTTGGCGTCCTTTTATGCCTTGATTATAATTCAAAGCGTGTTTCAAGAATACAATATAATCATAATCTCACAATAAGGCACTAGGTACAGCCGCTATATTAATCATGTTATAATACACCTGGATAACAATGATTGCAACTTACCGCCGGGCAATTATAATCATATGTAATATGGATAAAACAACTGCAATTAATTTTATATTAGCCTTACCCTTAATTCGTAATACCCAATGAACTTGTTCTTTTACCTCAAGTGTTTACATTAAAACATTCATACGTACTCATTGCACAAGAACATGTTTCAACTATTCATGTTTTGGATACAAAAACAAATCAGGTTGAATAATACGGAATGGGCCATTAAAAACACGCAAATATTCATTCTCACGCAAAAGTCCCCACCTCTTTAAAGAAAGGTCGGTCTTCTCTGTAGGATTACCGTAGAAAACGATTATGGAATTTACATTATTGCTTGAATTGCAATGAGCTTGGCATGTCTGACTTGATTATGTTTTGTATGCATGGTCATTTGTTTGTGTTCTTTTTTATCGATTCCGCTGTGCAATATTCTAGTTCTCTGATTTACAACTATTCATTTCTCAATATTTCTCCATATTCTTCCTTTAAATGAAGGGGATTATTAAGCATGCTGAGCAAAAGTATTAACATTAAATGCTGAAAGTCAATAGTTTAAATCCCCATTAAGCGAACAAGACATGTCAATTAGGAGCTTAAATCAAGTATGTATTGACTGGAGCATCTAATGTTCTGGTTATCAAACAGTTTTATTTTTTATATCTTTGGAATGCATATCGGATTAAATTGTTTTTAATATAATTGTTTAAACTGATAAAAATGGTAAAATAATGCATTTTCTGGCTTACATTGCAATTTTGACTATTACTGTATTTCGCATTTCTATTGTGAGATAAATATTATAACAATATATCTCTGTATTTCGTATGATATGCTAAAATATTAATCATAGAATTGTGCCAAAACATTATCGCAATGTAAAACTTGTAGGAGTACGTATATACGTGATCCTCTTTCAACACTGTGTATTTATTCTGCTGCCTTGAATACCGCCTGTTAACAGATATTTGAGCATTTGCTGAACAGATTCCCTCTATTGGATTTACCGTAACGCGCATCATTGTACTGTTTGATCTGAATGGAATAAATAACTCAGCGCTATAAAATATCTAAATATTGTATCGACTGTTCAAGAATTGAAATAATTTTGGATATAATTGTTTATGTTATGAGCATATATACAAGAAATATATTGGATTTAAGATTAAATTATTGTCAACTATAATATAAAGATATCAATGGTGTTATAGAAATTCATATTATTTATAATTACATGTGCATTCTAAGGATGGCAATGTGATTAATACAAAAACAACTACTCAAGTATGTGCATATAAGATGTCAGAAGAGTATAAAATTGGAAGGAACTCTACGCAAGCTTCTGACGAAGCATTTCAAATTTCGGAATATGTACAAGTGTTAATAATTGTTATGTATTCTGTTGTAACAATTATAGCTGTAGGTGGCAACAGTATAGTTTGTTATCTAGTGTATGCTTACAAACGTATGCATACCGTGCCGAACTACTTCATAGTTAACCTTGCTATCAGTGATATCATTATGGCCTTATTTTGCATTCCATTTACGTTTATTGCCAATCTTATTCTCAACTACTGGCCATTTGGGGAGACAATGTGCCCAATTGTTCTTTATATACAGGTTGTTGCAGTGTTTTTGAGTTCCTATACCCTTGTCGCCATGAGCATTGATAGATATATTGTAATTGTTCATCCATTTAAACCCAGAATCACGCAAAAACAAACTGCTTTAACTATAATTGGAATATGGATTATTTCGTTTGCAATTCCGTTACCAACGTTTTTAAAATCACGTGTAATATATCATTCAAATACAAGTGGACAATGCTTAGAAACTTGGGAAAATAACACTGGACAATACACATATGGGTTGTCACTTATGATTTTACATTATTTTGGACCATTGACACTTTTATTGTTTTCTTATTCTAAAATTGGATACAACATATGGATAAAAAATATTCAAGGTGCAGATAGAAATAAAAGGAAACTTCAATTAGCTACTGCTAAGAAAAAGGTAAGAAAGATGTATTAGTATAAGTGCTTTTTCACTCAGTCGTAATTTGGCAAATATACGAAGTTTAGAAGCACAAGCATGTGTTATAAATTGACTTTATATTGTTATATGTATTGTATTTTAATGAAATGTGTGCTTCATATTTTATTTTTTATTTAACCGAAAACAAATCATGTGCCGATTTTTCTATAAAAAATATGTTAAAATCCAATAAGGTTATTTTACAACTGTTTTTACTTATTTATTCTGAAGACAGTCTTCTACCATTGATGTAAATACTAACTGATTACTAACCAAAACCAAAGGAAAGCCATCCTATTTAAATATTATTTATGTATTGGAAGAGGGAAGAGGTGTGTAATAAAACAAAAATATGATTGTAAGTGATTATTTCTTATAACTGACAATGTAAAGTGACAAATAAACTCATTGACCTTCTGCTTCAGAATATGTCCACAATAAAAATATGATTAAAATTGTAATTAGTAATTGTAATATAGATAGTGAATATGTCTCAATAAAAAAGCGGCGAATCATAAAAACAGTTGTTTTGTTACTGTAATGTGTTTTTGTGGGGATTGAACAAAGGTAAAATAGAGATTCTCGCAACTACATGCTATAATATCAAGTTCCTACAATCTTTTATTTATATATTCCTCCATGTACAAAATGACTAAAGGGCTTTAAAAATCATTTCAAATGCTATGATCACTTATCTATTCAATAATTATGAATAAATGTACGCATTCTTTCATGATCTTTTCATAGAATTCCGAATGAACAACACAATTGATAGGCGTCTTGTTTATGCGGCGGCTACAAACAAAGGTATTTGAGGATGAAAACAATTGAAAATATGTTAATCTATAAAATTTAACATTTCACATTTATTTTTAATTGATAAGAGACAGCAATCTGTCACAGGGTTCAATAAACATGTCAGTAAAAAAACTAGAATAAAACATAGCAAGAAGTATACCTAGTTGTTTAATTATTTCATAACGTGTTTAAGCCATGTGTTTGTCAGCGCTATAGTATAGCAAATAAACTTTTCTTATGAAGTAATCGACCGATTAAGTATTATAACATTGATGGTATGTAAAACAAACATTTACTTATTAATCGTATTTAAGGTTTTCCCTAACATCAAAGGTTAACAAATGTATTTTAATAATAAACTTAATCAAAACACATTATTATTGAAAATAATATTGAATTAAAGAGTTGAACCAGTTGAAAATGTTATAATTAACTGAAACTTTGAAAAGTAACCATAATGAGCCTTTACTATTAAACAAATAAAACTAAACAGTAGCAATGCAAGTTGTACTAACAAGATTAAAAATCTTATAATTCAAGATGACTGCCACTAAGAAACAAGAATATAAATTAATCTTAGTTACTTTTGTACAAAAATGCTAAAATTACAGAAAAATGTTTCAGTGAATTAAGATAATCTCTAAGGTTCATTTACAACCCAAAGTGTCTAAATAGATTCAACAATTAATTAATTAATCCTAAAGTGCTTTAGAGATGTTAATTCTTCCAAAATTACCAGCAGAATGTCAAAATTTCCTGAGATGCCTGGTTACATGAACTTTGAATCACAGACTTACATTACATAAACATACAGGTGGCACTGTATGTAACATTTCTTCTGATTGGCCTTCAAAGTACAGCCAACCAGAACTAACTAAACAAATGTATAAAGCATGTAATTTGTTTACATAACTATTCCAAAAATAGATAGTGATCCATGAAAAAGTTTATTAAACAACAATAACTTTGTTTACAAAAGATGATGGCAATGATTTAGTATTGCAAAGTAATCAAAATAATCATAATTATAACTACTTATGAAAAACTAAACATAATTATATAGAATGTAAATGCAAAATCAACAACTAATGTATGTCAATATGTTTTATTACCACTTTGAGTAAAAGAAGAACAATTCTGATTATCACTGAAGTATTTTGCCCAATAAAATTACTCAACACAATCATATTCCACATCTAACTAGTGAATGATAAAAATGAAATGCACATAAAACAATACATATTCAATACCCTTACGTTTGAAGATGAACTGAAATTTTTGCTAAAGGTTAAGCCCTTATTTCTTGGAAAATATTCATGAAGCTTATATATACGTCATGCTCCTTGAGTAACATTATGCAATACACTGCAACGATTATAGAACCTGATGTATAGAACATGATGTATTTAGAATCCAGCACGTCACCTTAGAAGAGATCAGCGGTAAATTGTTCGGTAGTTTACACATTTTAGCCTGCTTAATGAAATCACTACTGAAAAAGGAAAATATAGAAATATCTAGTTGAATCAATCAAATATACAATTGCCAAAATTTTTAATATACCTGCAAAAACAAAACTAAACTGCATTTGTCACAAATGTTTGCGATGCCGACTTTCATGATAATTGAAATTCATGAGATAAAACAATCTTCTGAGAAATAACAATGTCTCGAGTTTAGGTATATGAGTTATATAAATAAGTTTTTTTTTCAATTTTTAATCTAGTGTTATTATGACCAACTTGTATGGCGTAAATATTGTAACAGAGAGTGATTATTGAGGTTGATTTACTCAAGCTAAACTATAATAATAATAATATTTTTAATAATATTGTCAAACATAGATGTATTCGCTATTCTTGTTTCTTTTTTTTAAATTGGTTCTATCATCTATTAAATGTGCCAAATCGTTTTATTATTGATTGACTCTGGCTTTGTAATTGACGTCAGAAATATTTTATTGTTACACATGTTTTTATTCAAAATATATCTTTTGTTTCTGGTAACATAAATTTTTATTTACTTTGTCTCAATTAATTTAATTTCGATATGTTTATACCATTTGTGTAAACGTACCTTCTGGTGTGCTGGAGTATGGTCTTGTTGCTGGAACATTAATACCATCTGGTATATTATTAGAAACATTTGTACACTGTCTTTGGTATCATAAAAATGTTTGCGTTGGACTTAGATAAACTTTTATCATACCATCATGACTAAAGTGTAACTATAACATTGTTTCACTTTATTTGTTTCAGATGATAAAGATGATGGTCACCGTAGTGATATTTTACGCCCTGTGTTGGTTACCACTTCATACAATAACACTTGTCGGTGATCATAACCCGAAGATCTACAACAATAAATATATACCGATATTATGGTTGTGTTTCCATTGGCTCTCGATGAGCAACAGTTGTTACAATCCAATCATTTATCTTTGGATGAGTCCTAAATTTAGAACTGGACTGCGTTTGGCTTTAAACAGTTGTTTTCAGAGGAAACAGACGACATCAGCGTCAGATGAAGAAATCTATCAAAAGATACATATGATATTTCCGCGTTTGCGATACGAGCTTCAAATGGAGGAAAGTATGAAAAATAATAACCGAACACCTAGACCTAAAAACAACTTTGAAGATTTGATGTCAGAGGAATACATGCTTCCAAACAGGAGTATCCATAGTGACACGTGATGCTGTAAAGATGTTCTTATAAACTTAAGAGATTCCTTTGTACGAAAATGTATTTAGAATAACAATCATAATATTTAAATTACATTACCAATCATTTTATGAAATATCGAAAAGACCATACGATACAAACTCATAATTTTCAATGATTTTTTAACTTGAGCATACTGAACAATTTATCTGAAATAAAAATTAATTGAATTTCTAAAAACGTTGCTCTATAACTTCCAGTAATAATTTGTATGCCCGTTCTATCTTGATAGTGCGCAGCAAACTCATGTGAATGTCGGATCTGAGCTAAAGAGATCTCTGAATAAAGTTTAAGCATGTAAAATATACCGGAACATTAAAAAATTATATTTAATTACTTTCTTTTTATCCTTTTTCAATAGCGTTGTTTACATGATATGAAAACCAAAAAATAAATTTGCTCGAAATATTTTCATGGAAAATAAACTTTCCATAACGCACGCACGCACGCTGGCACTCACATAGCTCCACATACATGCGTGCACGCGCGCGCGTGCTTGTATCCACACACGTAAATAAGTCTTATAACCAGATTATGATTTCGTAATTCTAATTTCGAAATTTACCTACCCCCGTGCCGTTGATTTATTACTTTATAGTTTGAACTACAGGCAAAGTATTAGAAGACAAAGTAGGAAACATTTGATAGAGGTTTATTAAAAGCTTTTTTTTTTAGATTTCGGATTCCAGATTTTGAAGATTATGTCTAAAAAACATCTCCATTTCAGACAGTAGTGTACTGATATTACCTAAACTGACATGAAAGAAAAACAGAAATAAGGTTGTTGTTCTACTTGTAGACGCCTGTTTGCATTATAAGTAATCTGATATGCAGTTTTTTTGCAAACAACTTTATCATTAAGTATCAGGTGAATTAAATTCTTTACAGAAAAAAATGTAGCCAATGTGTTATTCTATTACGTTATCAGACTATCGTGTACCTCTCAGTTTCCGATCATTTGTGCATAATTCCCAACCATACGTCAATTATTGCAAGAAAAGCCGTTATTCAGTTTTTTGGTATCTGGCATGTAGTTTCTATTGGAAATACAAACATTATCAAAATAAAACTATGGTAGCAGTTGCAGTAATTTATGTTGTTCTTGTGATTGTTTTAGAACATTAATGCTCGTATAATTAATAACACTTAAAAATGGTGTAAAACGGGTCAGGGAAATGTATATAAATGTATTAAGAAGGCGTAAACATTTTATTTAAAGGCGACAGAATGTTACTTATTAACCCATACTGTTATTGGACAAGTGAACAAGATTTTAATAAACCCGATCAAGCTGGGTACTCACACAAACACACACATCCCCGCCTCTAAATAAACGAAAATAGTGTTACATATGCTCTAGAAAAGCATTCCCTATTATTTTATTTAAAATTTAATGTTATTATAATCATATCTCAGCATAATCATTTAATATGTTATTTACAATGGAGGTGCAATAAATTCAAGCAGTATGTATAGTATTTAAATCAACTCAAATTTTATGCAAAACGTCTATTAGATTATAAAGTACGCAAATGTTCAAACAAAAAAATATATCAAAATTCCATTGTTTTAAATATCATGACTCCTTTCTTACGCATTTTAAAAATATTGTGTATACGTTCATATTTTTGTGTTGAGATGAAAACACTTGAAATATTTTAATGTATGAAGTAGGGAACAAGTCATTACAGATATTGATTTATCCTATGGCCCGATCATTGCAAAGAAATCTGTCTCGGATCCAAGACTTTTAATTTTTGAAAACTAATTAAAATATCTCTCTTACTACAATGTTTATTGTGATGTAAAATGGATTTTTATTACGATTTATTGCATTTTGAAACCTAAAACAATTTTTTTCATCGGTGTGTACACGATGGCTAATTATCTAAGATTCTTTTTTATCAAAGATAATGCCGTTGAAATGTGTTGAAATAAATTATTTCCTGCACTTTTTTTGTCTCTTAATATGCAACGGAATCATTGAGCTTTTATCAATATTTTTGCAAAATAACCTGTATTTCCTAAGATAAACAATTATAAACAAGAAGAAAAAAGGGTGAATCCTGCCTTGTTTTGCATTTGGTAAATTGAAGATATCTTGTTCTTTTCTGACTGGCATTTCGCCAACAATCTTACGAATCGAAATTGAAATGTAAAAAATTGTATAACTTTGATATTTTTAAGGAGGTTATTCGAGTGTATGAAAAAACAACACTTGCACCTCTTTGTTGAAGGGTATACATATGAAATATTGGGTGTTATGCAACGAGGGGTATAACCGCTGAAAAAAAACAGTGTTTTTTGCACGGGTAATGGAATACCAATACAACGTTGATTATGTTGTTTTTTTTTTTCAAAATAATGGTCCTAAGGTGGTTTTATTGGTATTCACAGGTTTGCACATTATGCTCTTGTATCTTAGCTTACTTTTTACAAGACGAAGCCAATTTTACGCCCTTTCATAACATGCGACCTCCTATATGTAACGCTGACATTTTTCTTTTCCAGGGAGCTTAAATTGTGAACATACACGATATATCTTTTGTTAATTTTGAGAATGGTTGCCGCTTTACGGTATCAAATTATGTAGATGATCTGGTCAAAGTTACCGGCAAAAGTCTGGTACATTATTTAAGGACATTTATTCATGATACTACATGAAGTATGAGGTTCTTCTGGTCCCGTGTTCACAAAGATTTAAGGATCAGGATCAAGATCAGGACCAAACTTAAAAACTCTTATATTCTTTATTATTTATCCTCATAGATTAAATATCTAATATCTATTTGATAAAACTAGACTTGCAATAGCAAGTTTTTGAAATTTTAGAATAAATTCATTGTTATTTTTGCAAGAAACAGGCATTTTACAGTTGATCCAAATAATGATCCTGATCCTAAAATTGATCTTTCTTTTGATCCGAAAAAATTTGTATTTGCTTTGCTATTTCTTGATTTCATCCCAAAATTGATTGGTTTCTTTGCAAATCAGCATTTTTTTTACATTTTGAATATTTACGATTTAATTCAAGCAAAACACGATTAATTTTAATAACATAAAACAAGGAAATTAAATCAGGATCACTTGATCCTGATCTTTTCTTAGTGAACACTGGGCCTGGAAATGAAAATTATCAAGCCATCATCGGACGTTATTGAACGTCAGGGAATGTGAAAAGTACTATACATGAGCGTTTACGTTAACATATGCTTAGATTTCTTAGAATCCATCAGTTCATGGTCTAACATTGATGACTACCTCCGCCTGAAACGTGTTTGATATATTCGATGCAAGCACTGATTTACTAACTTGGCAATTTAAGTTTTCGGGTCTAAATCTAATTTAAATATTATATTTATCCTAAAATAATGGGACAGCACCCACGCGATGAGTGTATAACAAAAAGTTTTTAATACTTTCTTCTTTTGCCAAATAACATTGATATATTAGCATCATGGAGAAGAGAAATGAAAACACAATATTAATTGAAAATATTTCAGTCGTTTTTGCTTTTATTCAAGACATGTAAAATCATTGAAACATTTCTAACTGCCTTATGCAATGTTGAAAATTCAAGAAAAAACGCATTTGAATCCCGATTTTTAAATACAGTCGACACTCAATGGGACATTTGAATATCGTTCGTTTTATCCGAAGTTCGTTAAAAGCGAAGTAGCAGCAACTTTCTGACTTGTTTGGGTGGGCACATTTGCCGTGAAAAAGCAATACAAATGTATCTGTCACTAATCACAGGTGTAGTCGGTATTTTACGGCAGCGGTAATTTCATTCGGGGCATTTTATTGAACAATGTACATGTATTTAGACTATAAATGCTTACCATTTGTATTCTTTTGCTATTTGTTTGTTATTGTTTGGTTAATATTGCATCAAAAAACATCGATTGTTTGGTAATTATCGGGTATTTACAGCAATTTATCAACTGAAGGTGTGAAATACAAACTTGTCGTAACAAGGAAATTATGTTGTGAGAACATATCAACACCTTTATTCCCTGAAGCCAAAACTTACATGTGCAATCACTGGATTTAATAACTATAAAGGTGGAAGTTCCCATATGATCTCTAACATGTCAGTATGACTTCATCCGCAATAATACAAAAACATACACACTTTTCCATCATTATTGCCCAATATTGTACATGTTTGTTTTAGAACGAATGCATCAGGCTTCTGTTTTAATGAAAAATACTATCCTAAAGTGCATCTAGTATTATAAATTATGTTTCATATGATTTTACCAAGCACGCAATAAGCATTTATTTCGTACGAAAAATAGTAATGATATTCGTTTAACATTTTACCTCATTAAAATGGTTTATGGTAAATAAAAACGTCATAAATGTTTCCTCATTCTTGATATCAAATTTCACAATTATCGATATGAAATTTATATAAATCATACATCAAAATGTGAATAAACCGTAAATACTGATGTGGAAATACGAAATACGTAAAACAAAAAAGTCATTATAATAAGTATGCATTCATTAACTTGATTATGCGTCAGTTCAGAACTGTCTGCAGTGAAATGAAATATTCACAAGATTTCAGCTAATTGTTTCCTGTTAACTGCGGGTTGTTATAATTGTGTAAGAAGCGTACATTAGAGAGACTGGTCTAAGAATTACGTTGTAATACAATGCAGTTTCAAAACAAAATGTGACACCATCTTCATGTGAGCATTTACTGTACATCTAGCCTTTACCGACTATCGACCCGGCTAACATTTATGTACATGTATATAGAATTAATGGCATGATTGTTGATAAATACTCTTCATATGAAAAGAGTGACTACTTGTGACTAATTGAAAATAAAACAGTATACAAACACAGTCATATACTATTTTAAAAAAGCGAGAACTGCGGGTTGTTACAATTGTATACAAAGCGTTCTTGAGAGAGACAAGTCTCAGAAAAAGGCTGCATTTACAGAAAATAATGAAACGCCTCTAAAAAAAAGCAATCCCTGCTACGCATACAAAGAAAACAAGAGGGCCATGATGGCCCTGAGATCGCTCTCCTGGATATAAGCCCCCGGGGCGGGGCCAATTTTAACCCAGGGGCTTTTATTTGAACAAACTTGGTAGACACCCATTAGAAAATGTTTCATAATAAATATCTACGCTCTAGTTCTTTGGGGTTTTTACAAGAAAGTTTTTACTACACACATATAGGGGAAAACAATGACCCCCCGGGCGAGGTCAATTTGGACCCCAGGGATTTTATTTGAACAGACTTGGTAGACACTCACTAGAAGATATTTCATGCTAAGTATCTTAACTCTAGCTCTTTGGAGTTTTTTTAAAGAAAATTATTTAAGTTTTTACTATACACATATAAGGAAAATCAATGACCCCGGGGCGTAGCCAATTAAACCCCAGGGCCGTTATTTGAACAAATTTGTTAGACAATTATTAGAATCTAATTTCATCCTAAATATCTTAGCTCTAGCTCTTAGGATAAAAGAAGATTTTTTAAGTGTTTACTATATACATCAAGGGAAAAACAATGACGCTTGGGGCAGGGCCAATTTTGATCCAAAGACTTTTATTTAAACAAACTTGGTTGACACACACTAGAAGATGTTTCATGCTATATATCAAAGCTCTAGCTATTTTGGTTTTTTAAAAGAAGATTTTTTAAGTTTTTACTATATACAAAAAAGGAAAATCAATGACCCCCGGCGCGGGGCCAATTTTGACCCCAGGGCTTTTATTTGAACAAAATTGTAAGACACGGACTAGATGATGTTTCATGCCAAATATCTTAGCTCTAGCTCTTTCAGTTTTTTAAAAGAAGATATTTTTAGTTTTTTTCTTTCGGTTGCCATGGCAACCAGGGTTCTGCATGGAATTAAATTCTTTGAACATTTTTAAAGTTAACTACACAAGAAACATTCCTGTGAAATTTGGATTAAATTGGTTTCGCGGTTTTTGTGGAGATGTCGTTTAAAGTAAAAGTTTACGGACGGACGACGGACGGACGCCGGACGAAAAGCAATCACAAAAGCACACCATGTCACTTTGTGACAGGTGAGCTAAAAACATGTAGTAAATCACATAACTAGGCGCAATCTTAGATTTCCCGTTTTTGATATTAACGCTTCATTTTAAATTTTTTAATAACTCAAACTGTTGTCCTGTTGTTGCATGATTATCCACTTACTATGACTGAAGTGACCTGTAATTGACGCTTACAGGATTACCTGTAACTAACGCTCACATGATTACCTGTAATTGAGGCTTACATGATTGCACCGAGAAATGATATCGTTTTCCTCGTTTATAGTAGACATCAAGAATGCTCAATTTGCATTTCAGAAATTCTGTTATGAATAATGATCCCTTTGAGGGTTTTACGCTGTTTAACATGTTTTGATATAAACTACTACCAAAAATGATTATACAAATATATTATTTTAGACCAGAAAACTGTTTTTTACGCGTTTTGGACGGCATCGTAAGTGCACTATGCCCCCCGCCCCCACCCCCTAATATTATTGCACAGGGAATACAATTGTTATTTTGCTTCTTTAAAATTACATAGGTACAAATGTAAAGTTCATACTTATCATCCACTTAACTTGCATTTCTTAAATTGAAGATATTTAAAAACTTATTATGCTGTGTTTATCGACCTTCAACGGTACCCTTTACAACTATGTTTTTGTAAAGATTTAATTTATATCAGACATTTTACTAACCACGGCACATAATTGTTTAAATAATTGAAGCTGATTTTTTTCTATTTACATATATTTTGTTTTTAATCCTAGTCTAAGGACTCACTACATTACAACAAAAGCTTTGTTACACTTTTCAAGTTCTGTGAACATGTTTTCACTTTCAACACTTACAAAATGAATTTCAATGTTATTAGGTGCATACAAATAGCTATGGATATTATGTAGAGAAGTCCACTACAAATGTTTTGTAAATAATAGTTATAAGGTGAAATGTTTCTGCATTTTCGTGATCTTTTTATTTCCTTTTTCAATTTTTTAGGTAAGCGATATAGACCAACTCTGGCCTCTTGTGTAATTGCTTGACAGGCATGGCAAGACACACAAAATTTGTGTTTTCACAACAAGTAAAACCACGGTCGTCTACAGTCTGTTGAATTGCGATAAAGTAAAATATGCCCCTAATGGATTTCAGTTTTGAATGTATAATAATTA